ACTCTTTTTTCCCTCACATCACAAGCATTAGATTTGCGTCAAATGGATTCTAAGTAAATTAATGAAATAAGAAAAAGTTTTTATGCAGATCCAAGATTTCTTTTTCAACATTATTTCATAGGGCTAATTGATAACATATTTGAAAGAAAAATGAAATAATGACAAGAAAATTAAGTAAAATATTAGGAAAAATGAAATAATGACAAGAAAATTAAGTAAAATATTAACATTAAAGGTATTACCATAAATGTCTAAAGAAACTAGATATGATGACTGAAAATAGTTTTTAAGCAAATCTAAAATCTCAATCTCTTTATCACTAAGTTTATTATACTGAGCCACTGACAACTTCCAAGCCATTCACATAATCATACTTAACAACCTATCTTCTTTTTTCTCTGCACTAATAAAAAAAAAATTCTCTGTGCTCCCAAACTTATTCACTGGAAAAGGTAGAAAAAAGTATGTGCTCTATTCTTTGGAAGATTTGATCTCCACTGAAGACATTAAGATAGTGCTTCTTTACTCACCATTAGTAAATATTGAAAATTTTTTTTAGTAGAGTATAAATGTTTTTCTCTAATTATGTTCACTTGATATTGATCATCACCATTTTTTCTTTTTAGTTGTTTTGTCATTTCTCCATCCTGAGGTTGAGTGGGTTAGGGTTATAAAATGTTTTCTTCAGTTGACTTTATCCCCCTCCATACTTGTATGTCTTATTCTCGCTTATATTACGACCACATTTGTATAATCTAGTTGTGCCTTGTTCTGGTAGTCTTTACTTTGTTGTTTGCTAGTGGGTTTATAAATCACAACTTAATAAATTAATTTATTATGTTTGGCATTGTGAATTTTCTTTCTTATATATTCTTCCCTTGCGTAATTAATGAGAAGAACATACAAGTAAAGTTCTCTTTATGTATATTGGATAATCAATTTCATGTTTTTGGTGGTTCATTTATAAAAGGCTTCTTTTCAATGAAATAGCTTTACTCAAGAATGGATTCAAACATGAAGTATTGATTTCTTGTCACAATCTTCTTTGGCAAATAATGAATGTCCTTTTCATTGTGAGAGAGGCAATTAAATTTCTTCAAGCTTTATTACGTTAAGAGCTTTTGTTTTGGGAGTCTTTACAACATTTTTATGTTGAGGCAAATGGTTTGAAAAGTGTCATATAGAAAGTAAGTCCTAGTGCTATAGTTCGAACAAAATATTTTTTATATAATATCCATGAACAGTTGCATTTTTTAAAAAATTTGTACAAAAATATAGATTTAACTAGTTAAATGCCATCATATTATTTTAGGATCTCTTTTTTAGTTGTTTTAAGATTTTTTCAATGAAAGAAAATAGAAAAAAGAAATTACTCGTGCTCAACTGATTTCATCTTTATTATTTAGTTGTTTGCAAAAAAAATCAATAGATTTATGAAGAATTCATGTTTAAATGATGAAGACAATTAGTGTTTGATATTGACAAAATAACAACTTAACTCTTTAATTTATATTTTTATTCTTAGTTATTTAATTATTATAATAAAAGTAAAAGTATCAAATTACTATAAATAAAAAGAAATAAATAGAAATTTATTCTAATGATGGTTTTGTGATTAGTTGTAAGTGATTATCTATATATACACATACATATATTAATTTTACTTTGGTTATTACCAAATCTAATCATGAACAATGATCGGTGTTGTTATATTACTGTAGAGAGTATTTGCAGTAAACTTTTTCTATTATTTAATCATTATCTTTTATTTAATTCTTGAAATTTAATACCTTTAAAAAATAATTGAACATAATATTTTAAGGTGTATTTAATATTATTTTAAATTATTTGTTATTTTAAAATATTATATGTAAAAAAACAATTGATTCAAAATTCAAAAATTATTTTAAAAAAATGATTTTACAACATATTGTTTTTTGGTAGAAGAGAAGAAAATAGGTAAAAGTTGGATTTAATAAAAATTTTATAACATTTAATTAGGAAGAAAACAATTTGATCAGGGGCCGAACCCAAATGAAAAACAATTTGATCAGGGAATTAGGGAATTTTGCAAGAGAGACATACGAGCCGGCCTGTTTAAAGCTGTCGATAGGTAATATTCATCTTGTTTGTGTTTTGAGAGGTAGGGTTTACAAATTCATCATTAACCACGACGGTAGAATTCACTGCTTCCGAGTAAGTCTGCATGTAGCTGTAGTTTCATAGAATCTTACCAGAGAGATAGATGCTATGAAACCTGTTGCGAAACAACTAAAGAAAGAAGATGACGATGACAATGAAGATGAAGGAAACATCATGCATCATGAAGATGCAGTCCTTCCGTCGAATCAATAATTAACCGATATAATCTGTCAATGGATCCTACAAACTCCATGAAATCCTCTTCGTCCTCCTTCTTCGTTAATGGTAATGACAACTTCACCCTCTCCTTCTTTTCTGACAGTCCTCCTTTTTCCCTTGTCCTCTGCGACTTCATCACCTCACTCCTCATCCGCGAAGAATTCACTCTCCTCTCCTCTCCTCAATTCTCAAACCTCAATCCTTTATTGTTGTTGTTGTTATTGTAGTCCAGATTCTGGTGGTTGTTTCCTACTCCACCAATCGGTGCCTTGCACGCAGACCACCTGGTTCTCAGATTCCATGGCCTCACCTCTTCAGCCGCTGCAGGGGATTTTTCACTTTCCTTCTTCTTGGTGCATATCTTGTTCCTAGCTCTGTCATCAAGGTAATAAGCAAGCAATTTTGTAAAGCTACTATAATGATTAACGACTTTATTGTGCAGTTTTTCCATTTTGATCTTTGACCAAGTCACATCTTAAACTTTGCCAGTCCAAAAATATTTTTTCAAAGAAAAAGTATAACATATTTTAAGTATCAAGGAGATGCAACCTGCATATAAAAATATTTTGCAATTCATGAACATATTAGTAACTAATGTAGAGACTAAAGCTACCTTGTACAACATGAATGTTGCTTAATCTAGTTCTTTAGCAAAATGCTCAACAGTTGTTTTCGGTTATAAGTATGGCATTTGGTTGACCTATGTTTTTGTTCAGATGTTATTTCCGTTCTATTAGTCTCATGTTCTTGTTGTCTGATAACAAGTTCTAATACCAATTAATAGGAAAATTAAGAAAAGTGAGAAGGACGAAAAATATTGTCTCAAAATTCTGATCATTATTAATATCCATCACTCTGGTTCTTCAAAAATACAAAAAATTAGACTCTATTAAGCTAAAATATCTAAGGGATTAATTATTTTTTAATTTACTTTACTTTTAATGATTCTTTTGTGTGTGATATCAGGTTTATCATTGTCAATGTGTATGTTTGAACTTTCAAATGTTTGGGCATCAGCAGACCAACTTGTTAACTTCAAAAATAATTTTCAGTACAGTTATGTTATTCGTTATAAGCCAGCTTTTATTTCAAAGTTAAAAAGCTAAATATGGTTGTTCTATCCAATAGGTAGCAGAGAGTGTTGCCAAAAAGAAGTTGGATTCTGCTTTTGCTATCGTCAGATCTCCAGGGCTTCATGTCATAGAAGATGAAGCTATGAGGTTCTGTTTATTTAACAATGTGGCTATTGCAACACTTTTTTTGTTAGATGAAAGAGTAAGAGTCAGTTTTAATTATTTAGATATAGTTTTCTTACCCAGAGTTATTCATCAGTTTCTTTTTTCGTTAGATGTAAAATTGCCTATATGGATTTAGATTAGATGTTTCTTTTTCCATTCTTTAATTAGTTGTTTCCTTGTTAACCGTATATATTTTTCTATTTTTCAACTAAATTTGGGTCTAAATAAAGTCTTGATCATTTAAATAATTTGAGTTTGTTATATATGATTGATTGGATTTTGAATCTCGTTTCCTGTGTTTGCATGTAGTATATGTGAATTAAATTATTGATCATATCAGGTTAGAGGCATTTTTACAGTTAAGGACTACAGATGGATTCGGGAACTAAATTCTAGTAATTTACCTTTCTGGTTGTCATTTTCAGTTATATATCCTAAGTAAACTAGCATACCGATTTATACTATTAAACTTGTATAAATTAAGTAAACTACTTTATCCATGTTGTGGTTATACTTTGTTCTTATGGAGAATCTGTGGCAGATTCTGACCTTTTTTTTTCTAATTGTGTGGACAATAATGTTCTTTATAGATAGTATTTAGTGATTAACTATTTGTGAAAAAAGTATGTATTGATTAAATATTATAAAGCCAGTTTATATTTCGAAGTTAAAACACTAAATATGGTTGTTTTATCAAGTAGGTAGCAGAGAGGGTTGCCAAAAAAGAGTTAGATTCTGCAAAAAGTTTATTCAATAATAGGTAGCAGAGAGGGTTTCTGAAAGGAGTTGGATTCTGCTTTTGCTATCGTTAGACCTCCAGGGCATCATGCCGAAGAAAATGAAGGTATGGGGTTCTGTTTATTTAACAATGTATTTATTGCAACATGTTTTTTGTCAAATGAAAGAGTAAGAGTCAGTTTTAATTCTTTAGATATACTTTTCTTACCCGAACTAAAAAAAAAACTACTTTTCTTACCCGAAATTATTAGTCAAAGAGTGAGTTTTAATTCTTTAGATATACTTTTCTTACCCAAAATTATTAATCAATTGCTTTTTTTGTTAGATGTATAATCAATCGACTATATGGATTTAGATTAGATGTTTCTTTTTCCATCCTTTAATAAGTTGTTTCTTTGTTAACCATATACATTTTTCTATTTTTAGCTAAATTTGGGTCTAAATAAAATCTTGATTGTTTAAATAATTTGAGTTCATTAAATATGATTGATTGGATTTTGAATCTCGTTTCCTGCGTTTGCATCTAATATATGGGAATTAAATTGTTGATTATATCAGGTTAATGGCTTTTTAGCAATTCAGGAATACGGATGGATACTGGAACTCAATTCTAGTAATTCAACTTTCAATTCTCCAGTTGTCATTTTCAGTTATATATCCTAAGTGAACTAGTATACCGGTTTTCAAAACCTAATTGATCCATATTGTGGTTATACTTGGTTCTTGTAGGAGAATCTATGGCAGATTCTGATATTTTTTTCTAATTGTGTGGACAATAATGTTTGTTGTAGATATTATTTATTGATTAACTATTTCAAAAAAAAGTATTTATTAATTAACTATTATAAGCCAGTTTATATTTCAAGTTAAAAAGCTAAATATGGTTGTTTTATCCAATAGGTAGCAGAGAGGGTTGCCAAAAAGGAGTGCTTTTGCTATCGTTAGGCCTCCAGGGCATCATGCCGAAGAAGATGAAGCTATGGGGTTCTGTTTATTTAACAGTGTGTCTGTTGCAACACAACTTCTGTTAAATGAAAGAGTAAGAGTCAGTTTTGATTATTTAGATATAGTTTTCTTACCCGAAGTTATTAGTCAATTGCTTTTGTTAGATGTATAATTACCTATATGGATTTAGGTTAGATGTTTCTTTTTCCATCTTTTAATAAGTTGTTCCTTGTTAGTCATATATGTTTTTCATTTTTCAGCCAAATTAGGTCTAAACAAAATCTTGATTATTGACTGGGATGTTCACCATGGTAATGGTACTCAAAAAACTTTCTGGAATGATCCTTGTGTTCTGTTCTTCTCTCTTCATAGGTACATATGGAATCTGGGCAATGCTTATTCATTTGCTTGATCATCGTGATTCGCTTGTAGCATAAGTCCCAAACTTTCATGATATAAAGATAAATTAATAATGTCGACAAGATCTTCATGTCCTCATGAACCAGTTTTATAAGCTGGAGAGTAGTTTTTCTTTGTTTTTGTTTTTAACTTCATCTTGTTTCTGGCCTGATTTTTTACCTTATGGTTTTTGATGCAGCTACTTCTATCATAACTATGTTATGTTTTCCCTTAATGTAGGGACACAATGGTTTTAATTGTGCTAAATAGAAGCTTATTATTATTGTTATTGTTAATGATGTGCTTTTCTTAACTATGTGAAATGTGTAGGCAGAAGGACACTATATCTTCGGAATCTTGTATTTGATTCCTTGCAATTTGCTGATGCTGAAAGTAGACTTGACCATTTTGTGGAATTCATATACCAGACACTCTTGCATCATGATGACTCAGATATAACAGTCATCAAATTAAAATTATGGAGAGAAAGAGCACGCTTCATTTTAAAGATTAAATGGATTGATTTCGCTTTGAAGCATAATGTTGAAGATCTTGTTATGAAGCTTGTGTTGCTGAACCAAGAGGGTTTGGCCCCTGTATCTTTTCCTCCAGAACATTGAAAAGATTTACCTTTTTCAGTCAAGCTTCGACATTCTCAGATTGCCCATATCTGTTTATCTTCCCAGTCTTAAAGAATTGCAATTTTGGGGTGCCATTTTCACTTATGATATGACATGGGAATTATTACTCATTGTGTCTGGTGCTGGAATCTGTGCATTTGTGGAATTGCGATGGCTTCTCTAAAGTTTCTAACTGTTTCCGCTCTCAGACTTAAGTATCTTCATCTAGACTATTGTCGTGGGCTCCAAACGATTGAGATGAATCTTCATACCCCAGTCTTATATAACTTATATTAAGGGGAAATCTTGCAAGAATCTATCATTTCAGGGGTGGCCTTTCTATTCATTATGCAGATGCAGATATTCAAGTTGGTGAAGTTTACAGAAACTAAATGAGTATAGATGTTCTTGGTCGCACTGCTTTAAAGTTGCTTAATGAACTCTTTAACATTACTGTACTAGCTGTGGATAATTTGTTGTGGGAGGTATATGCTCTGTCCATTTCTTATACTTGGCTGTATTCTTTTAGTGTTTGTGTCATTTTCCTGGGGAGTGGACAATTATATTTTAGTTACCTATAATTTTAGGGGACTTCAATTATTTCTTCTGCGGAAATGCTTAGGTGTATAGCTAGAATAAATGTTTAATCCAAAAGAAAACCTTTAATAAGTACAATTTTGGGAGTATCAGATTGTTACAGGATCTTTTTAAGTTATTTCCAAATGAAAGAAATAAGAGAAAAGAAATGGCATATTCTTAATGGTTTCATTTGTATTGTTTACCTGGTTGCAGGAAAAATTTCAATAGATCTCATAAGGGTTCGTGTTTAAAGAACAAAGAAGATTAATTCTTTAGTCATGGGAGACTTAAATTTGTGAGACTTAGATCCTTTTTGAGGGGGGAAAAAAAAAAAAAAAAGAGATGACTAATAAATAATAGTTTATGCTCTTGGTGAAAGCAAATGGATGCTCTATTGAACAAAGAGATGTATATTTTATAAAAATAGAAATGTGTAGCTTCTTTGCCTTTCTATGTTAATCTTTTTGGATTTAGATTAATGAAATTGTCAAAAATTTTGGAATTTAAAGTATTTCTATTTGAAGGACTTTTGTTAGTTTAGAGAACCATATTCCTTTTTGGCCCCTTCTCTTAAATTGGCGTTGATCGCTCATAGGAGGAGGTATCGGGTGATCGCAGGGTTTGTGAGAGAAAAACTTTTGACTCGGGGAGACATTCAAAAAAGTAAAATTTTTATTGCTAATTGGTGATGGTTTTGACAAGAATAAAATGTATTTAGTGCGTGAAGTAGAACATTATGGAAAATATATTATATGTTCGATAATATTTTAACTTTTGAATTTTTAATTGATCAATCAAATCTAATTAATTTTAATGAACAATGGTTATTCTTGGTCAACTTTTTGAAGAAAAATATTGGATTATTTCGGAGAAAGAGAAATAAATATGAATTTTACTTTATTAATGACTTTTTGATTGGTTGCAAAATATTGTATATTACAATTTTTTTCTGAATTTGTTTTGGTTCATGTTACAGCAAACTAAAGAATTTTCACGGTGAATTTGTTATAATATTTAATGATTATATTTATTGAGATTTAACATATTTAAGAAAATAAATAAATATAGTGGTAGTAATCCACTCAATTTTGAACAAATTTCAAAACGTCAACTTGACTTCAACATAAAATTCTATCCTATTTCTGATGTGTTTAAAATTAATTCGACTCATTTATTTTGATTGAATATAGTTATAATATTCTTTTTGTCAAGTATAAAATAATATAATTTATAAAAAATATTAAATATTAGAATATAATTTTTAAAAAAATTAAAGAAAATTTAATAATTATAGAATGTTGGATAAATTTTGAAAACATTAAACAAGTGTAAATAAAAAACCCTTGGAATAAAATAACTTCAACATCTAACAATGATTTAATATAGTAGGGGAAAATGTTGGAGTCGTACCCGAATAAAAACACAATCTTGTAGAGAGACGGAGCCAGCCTGATTGAAGCTGTCATAAGGTGTGTCTTCATCTTGTTTGTGCTTTGAGAGGAAGGCTGCATGTATAATCTGCAGTTTTGTAGAATCTTACGATATAGAGATGGATGCTATTGAACCTGTCGCGAAACACCAAGAGAAAAAAGATGACGACGATGAAGATGAAGGAAGCATCATGCATTATGAAGAATCTAAGATGCAGTCCTTCCGTCGAGTTAGTAGTTAACTAAAATAATTGGGTGAGTCTCCTTGCAATATATATATATATATATATATATATATTATCATTGTCCTTTTATGCAGGATTTGGATTGCGTTGTGATCGGTTGAAGTAAAAATTGAGAAAAACAAAGAGAAAAATTGTGATCTTTCACTTCAATCATTGGTTATTTAGGTTAAAGCCATGAACTTGGTCGAAAAATTATATGGGTGATTTTATTTATAATTTGAGTCAATTTGGATTAATGGTGATTTTTTAAATAATTTAATTTTTTTAAATGAACGAAATTGTTGATTATATCAAGTTAAAAGCTTTTCAGTAATTAGGAAAAACTGATGGGCACTGGAACTAAATTTTAGTAAATTCCTTGACAGTTCTCTGGTTACCATTTTCGGTTATTTACCCTAAGTGAACTGGGATACTGAATTTTAAAAATTAATTTATCCATATTGTGGTTCATTTTGATTTTTATGAGAGAATATATGGCAGATTCTAACATTTTTTTATTGTATAGACAATAATTTACTTTATAATATGTACTGATTAGTTGCTTTTAGGTTTAGATATTACTGAATAGAGTTACCACAATCTCGCCTCAGTTATTAACATTGATTGTGGCTGGTACCTAGACATTTCTATTGGTTAAAATTTAGGGTTAGGTTAAGTCATATTTTGCATTAACCAACATACATCATGAAAATGCATCGATTCACAAAAAAATTAATTATGATTGGTTGAAGCAGAAACTGAGCAAAACAAAGAGAAAGGATACGATCTTTCACGTCAATCAATAATTTGTAGATTTTTCTTGTTTGGCTTCTGTGTCATTTCTTTATGAACATCAAAAGGGTCTAATTTTCTCTAGATTGTTATATTCTTAGATGGCCTGCATCTATTTATCTTTCTAATCTTAAAGATTGTCTTAGGGTGTCATTTTCACTAATGGCAATCTGATGGGATTTGTTCTCCATACATGTTATACTTCTCGATTTTTGACGCTCTTGATTGTTGGATAATGCATCTTTTTAAATTCCTTTTTAAAAAAGGGAGGACTCTCATATATTCCTTGGTGTTGCAGTTTATCTTTCGTTGACTTATGCAGATGCAATTGCTTTTTACAATATGAGCAATGTCTGTCTGTCTGACCATCTAATGAACACTTGCAAATGATTATAATCCTCCTCAATGGAATGTGGAATGTAAATAGAACCCACTTTCTCATGTTTGTTAGTTTGTAAACCTCAATTCTCTAGGTATTCAATGCATTTTTATTAGCCACTCTCATTTGGGGATATTAGGTTTTAATTGTTTTAAACGAAAGCTTTCTATTATGTTATTATTATTATTATTAATGGTTTGCTCTTCTGAACTATATTAAAATGTATAGACACAAGAACAACCTTCATATGCATCCACTTTGGAATGGAATGCAGAAAACCGTGAGACAGTTGGGATACCAAATCTTTCTAGAATTTATTTATATTAACAAGTTTGTTGGATATGAGATTGATCTTTACCTACTGAAAGTTTTCCTTGAGAATGCAAAAGTAGAGATGGTCAACTTCACTAATGCTTTTGCATTCTCTTTTTTTTTTGAAATAAAAATAATAGAGAATGCACAAGCATTAGTGAAGTTGACATCTCTACATTTTGGAATGGTACTAAAGCTAATGATGGAAATATGCTTAAAATTATTGAGAAGTTATTGGCATTTCCAAGAGCTCCATCGAAAAAATAAGTACTTCTTTTCTAATTTAAATTTTGTTGTTGAGAGGAGGTAATAGTATTTATATTACTTATTTTCAATACAATCAAGGGGTTGTGTTCGTACTTGAATTTTTTATGTTTGTATTTAGGTTTAGAGATGTCCTTGCATTTAGTGGGTTGAGAAGGTGGCAGGGTTAAATTCTTTTCTTGGCAAAGCAAACAATTTTTTTTGGGTAAAAGCTATGAAATAAAAGTTTCTGCTTTTTATTGGGAATGATCATTCCTGTAAGTGGTTTGAGGAAGAAAAATAAAATGCATGGTTGGATATATTTTTAGTATTTGAATCAATTCCTTTGCATTGGATAATCATATGTTTGGTTAGCAATATCCTTAATTTTTCTTTATTATTGTCACTGTGGAATGTTTAGTTGCAATTCCACGTTGCATTAATAAGTTAAATTATGATATGCATCAGATTGTTTCATAGTCCCTTCTCATTTTAAGGTTTTGATTGAGAGCAACGATATTTTCACAAAAAGAAAAAAGAAATAGTTCATGGTCGACTGATTTCCTTTCCACTTTTTACATGTTTGTGGGAAAATCTAATTAATCTCTGAAGGGTTTCAGTTTGCTGAAATGAAGATAATTGGCATTTGACTTTAAATTGTCTCTAGAGAATGTTTGTGATAGTGATAGTACAATTTTTTTTTTCGTATGAATCTCTATTTTCCTTTTTTTTCTTTTGCATTACAAAATAGTGTATTATCATATTATGCTCTAGCGGTGTAGTTTCCTATATGCAATAATCATTTGACAAATGCAATTTGAATTATATTTTACAATGTCACAGATGTCTCCACTTATTTGTTTGGTCAACACTCAACCAAAAAATACATCCAAGAGATTAAAGTCCCAAGTGCCAGAATATGTTAAATACTTTCTCATGCTTGCAAGTTCGAGAACTTCAAATTTTACTCATGTTTGATTTATATCTAGCTGCTGCCACTATGCTATTGTCAAATATATATGCAAGCTGATTTTTTAAGATTGTATAAAAATATCCCAGAACAATTTTGAAAGCATTACGATTGTTATGATCCTTAATTTTAAGAAGTACTTTTTATAGAGGAGTTTCTTGTATAGGAAAGTAAGTTTGGCCTACTGAGCTTTTTAAAGAGTGAATGATGCGAGGACTTTTATGAAATTTATAAATTCTACTTTTTTGGTATTAATTGCAAAAGTGGAGGATGAGTTTACTATAATACCATGTATTTTATAGGGATGAGCCTATTATAAAGTATAAAAATGGAGTTTTGTTGAGAATAACGGATTTAATTAAATTAAATTTATTAGATATTTACAATGTACTTCAATGTGTGTCTCAAACTTGAACTAATATTTTTAATTTTATTTTTCAAATCCTACACATTTTAATTATTTGAAGGTAGACATGCCATTTAATATTAGATGTAATTCACCATAACATACTCCCACATCCTATGAAAATGTGAAATTAATCTCAATGACAAAAACAAACTCTTTGTTTCATTATTTTCTTCTCTCATATGTAGTTGGAACACTCTATCTTTTTTCTCAAATCATACCTTCAATATTGCTCCAAAAAATCAAATTTTCACTGCCATTCTCTCTAGGCCCACCCCAATTACAAAACCAATTGCACATTTCCTTCTTCATTAGTTAATCAAAAAACCACATCTTAACATTATTCCATTGCTT